AAAAAAAAAAAAAAAAAAAAAAAAAAAAAAAAAAAAAAAAAAAAAAAAAAAAAAAAAAAAAAAAAGAAGTAAAATTACCTGCATGCGATTGCCAGACCATTTATCGAGGATATAAGATTCATGACCTTTCGGTTGAGAACTTCGCGATCGTTTTGATAGCTTTCCTTGTTTCATCGGCGACCACGGCTAGAAATTTGTATATATATGAAAACGAAGTAAATCTTATATCAAAACTGTTTTTCTATCTTGAAGTTCAGGACTAATAAAATGAAAATGGAAATTTTTTAAATTAAAAATGCAGCTTGAATAAGAAATTCATGCAAATTCCACATGTTGAAAACAACTTTTATTGTAATTAACTGACGAAATATTCAGAGGAACAACCGGAAGAGCTGTTGGAATCAACGTGAAAGTTGAAGAAGAAGAAAAGAAAAGAAATTCTTTTGTGATTGAACCTCTTGCCGGCTTCTTGTTTGCCCTGGGTAAACTTCAAAAAGCGGAAGCCATATGAGAAACACGTCCACATAGCACTTTAAACCAAATATGGCTTTCATATTCATTTTTCACAACTCAACTCGACCATGACATCATCATACTAAACTTAATGAATCAACCTCATGCTATTGATGCAAGCTGCACAACTAGTATCTTAAAGATAAATATGTATGTAGTTTGCTCATGAAGTCATATCCTCTTTTTTTGATCTCTTGCGCGAGGCGAGATGTAAACGTCAATGATGATGAGGCTCTCAGATCAGTCTAGTGGTTTAAATTTGTTAATCTAATAAACTCTTTCAAAAGCTGAGAATCGCGTCCAAAGGGGATTTGAGAGAAGCTTTTCAGAAATTTTGCACGTGTCTTGAAATCTCAAATAATATCATCATTATCATCACCATTCAGTGCTGGGAGCAGCTTCGCAATTTTGAAATGAAATTTTTAAAATGTTTTGATAGTCAGAGAAGGCTCTAACCTTTCAGCTCTACTCCTCAATTGCTCCATATTGGTTTGATTAATAAAGTAAAGTGAAGAGAAAGGGGAAAACAACTTGGTGTGTAATGAACCTTTACATCGTAATGAAATCTGCCCTGAAGAATGAAAATCTGACCAACAGTAACCCCGGGGATGTATGATGAGATGTTGTTACACTTGAACTATCCAATTCAAAGTACAATCCGCAGATGTAGTCAATTCTAACAGACAACAAGGATACAGTGGGAATCAAACGCTGTGGTCGTTCATGCCAAAAGAAATAAAACCACCAATGATTTATCAAAAATCAATAAGCTTAGTGATGGTTTTCCATTTTTAGGCCGATTCATATTCCATAATCTACTATTCTTATCCGAATATACTGTTTGGTATTTGTGCATTTCTGTCAACATCTTCTATTCGTGTTGACGATTGAGATAAGAGGTGGTGAGATTTGCTGTTTTAAGAGAACGTGAACGTCGCTTCTGTTTCCGATGTTACAGATGCTTCTTCTGTATTTTTTCTAATAATTTAACGGTCTCAACAACATTTTCAAAAAAGCTGCTTTTCACTATAAGAAAAAATGAATAAAAAATTATAAAAAAAAAGAAAAACAACCGCTCAGCGCTCTCAATGAGTTAAAAATAAAATTATTTTTTTTCCAAAAATTATGGAATGTTGCGTCATACGCATAACTCTCTTCTCTCTATTTCAATATTGTTTTCTCCTTGTCTTTGATCGAATAAAAATTTGAGAAAAAAATTATTCGAATTTCCAAGTTTTCAAATAAGATGATTCTCGAGAATTCATTTATTATTACCTTAGTTTTGCGAGTGAAATGAGCCGTCTTTCTAAGTTAAGCTAATTCATTTCTCAGAACAAGATAGTTTACCTTTTTCGAAAATTGAATGTGGGATATAATGATTTGCATATAAAAAGGTTAATCTTCTCTCATTTTCTATCTTTTTTTAAATTGGAAGAAAAAGAAGATGAGAAAGAGGAAGAGGCGGATTACTTTTCGCAGAACTGCAAAAGGAGTTCAAAGCTTCATTCGGTTTGCAAAGTAAAAAAATGTGTCGGCGGTTGATTTCATGAAAAGAAAAACGAAATCATCTCTGAATAGGATAAGAAAGCCTGTAATCTGCATTCTCTTTTGCATTTAGAAAAGAGTGAGATGAGAAAACGCATGACAAAACGATAAAGCATTAAATACATTCTCGAAAAATCTCATTGTTATCATATTTATATTTCATTTTGTTAGAGCGCTAACTATACCATCATGCGTTTATTGTTTTTCAGAGTTTTCTTGTTACTATGGAATAAAGAGGTATGAAGTTTGTAATTATGATTAGTAGCGAGCTTTCTAATTTAATAAATATCAAAAATACCATAGAAAGCTAATATACGACTGCTCCATGTCGTCATGGTTGAAATGAGCTAAGAAAAGACATGAGTGTTGCATTTGCTAATTTTGAGGTAGACCAAAAAATCATTTCAATTTTTATAAATTCAATAAATCTCTCTTCCTTCCTTGTCTGCTTCCTGTGCTACCTTCTTCCTCTTTCTCTCTCTCTCTTCAGCTCTTCCTCTCCTTTTCCTAATCTGTGGCTCTCATTATTTTATATATGAGCTACAAGTAGTAAAGCATCATTATTCTTTTAGCCTATTATTCGGGAGCATCCTCCTTCTTCGTCCTCCCCTCTTTTTTCTCATCCCATCTGGTGAACTCCCGGCATATCCTTCCATCAAACCTATCATCAAATTTTTTCCTAAACTAAACCAAATAAGGATTGGAACGGCTTCCGTATCCGTTCAGCCAGTCGAACCCATTCTATTCTTATTCACTAAACGAATACCTGCACACCAGCACGTGTCTAATACATATTTTATGTATATTTATTGTTTTATTTAGCTTTATTCTCGTTTTTATAATTTTGTTTCTTATTTGTGGGGCAGTTCATAGTCGTTACTCAAGCTTCTACCATGGACACAAATGGCTTTCAAAGTTACAAGTCTTCAGTATCTCTTTTGAAATTCCTCTCGGATTACCTTATTTCCATTTTCCCTTATTAGCATAAAAATGGAAATAAAAACAGACAAAAGATATGTAATGCGGAATGAGAAGAGTTGAATGTTAACTGAGCTCAAAAAAAATGAAAAAAGGCGAATGACGAGGTAGATTCACTTCATTCACTTCGGCATTTTTTACTTTCTTTTGTCTCCTCTCTCTCCCATCTTCAAAATCTTTTCTCTGTCCCATAATTCAAAAGAAAATAGAGGGTGTTTATAAAATTTCTATGACATGTTTACCGCTTCTTGTATGATACACATATGTATACTCCGTTACTGACGACCTCCGTCACTTGTTCACTTTCACTATTAATTTCTGGCTTATTTGCATCTTTTTTTCGGAGTAAGTGAAAGATTGCAAAATTTTTTATACTTTTTTCTGACTTAAAAAAAGGTTTCTCAATAATTCAATTAGAATATTCCACGTTTACGTGAACTTTCAGACTTTCACGTCATTTTTGTTTAAGCTGACGTCGAAAACGGTTGTATTCACCTCTTATTCATCCAAACAATTTTAATTTCTCCCCTATCTCACTATATCTCTCATTCTCTCTTTCATATTGCAATTCTTCTCTCATAGTTCCGTTTGAGTGATATCATTTAACTATCTGAGGATATTATTCCTACAAGAATACTTGTATATTCATAATAAAAATGTCCTATTAGTGCCTCAGAGTCCATGGTAGTTGCAGATCTTTCAATTAGCTGTGAAGCTTCTGCCCTAATTTGGAAGTCGTTTTAAGCTTAATAGATGTTCTCATATCTTTGATTTGCAATGAAAATGTTTAAGGAAAAACTTGGGTCAATTATCAAATATTCTCAGAAAATTGTTTGGAAAGCTTTGTGTGAGTGCATCAGCACATCCATCTGAACAACACGAGAGTGAAAAAAAATCTTTCAATTTTGAGCTTCATCTGATTCATTTTCAATCACGTTCAAATATCATTTAAAATTCTACAAAAAAAAGATTTTAAACAGCATTTCATTGAACTATGTCGAATCCGTCAATGAAAATTGCCTGGCTGGCTATTCCACTGGCAAGTCGACCATTGGAGAATGCGGGTATACGTGATGAGGTACATAATCAGTTTTTTTTCTTTTATGGTCATTCCTTATGCTTATATACAACGTAAGGTGTCATGAGAATGTTAGAAGAGCAAGAAGATGTGATTCATGAGATGAAGCTAAAGATCTCTTGTTGCTCGTTATACTGGCAACAAATTGAAAAGGTCAAATGGTTTCATTATCCAAAAATGATCCATTATCTTAAATATTTTGCTTTAAAAATTCAAAAATCAACTATATCCACACATTGGACAATTAATTGTCTGTTAAAGACATGAAAGAAAAATTTTCTCTTTCATAACAGGAAGATCCGGTGAGCGATCATTATATAGTTTTCTTTTTTTTATTCCAAAAAAGGAAAGAGAAAGCTTAAAAATAGAACATTTTTATGAACAAAATGAAGATGATGAAGAAAACTTGAGAACATAATTAAGTTTTCTCTCACGATTAAATGTTCTGTTGAAGCTGTTGATGATGATGAAAGTTCAAAATAACCTTGTTTGGAAACCGTTTTTGTTTTGCCAAAACGAGGCCGGAAGGCTCACCTTATTTTTATCTTTTTTTTTTTTTTTTTTGCAAAAAGTTGATTAAACTCTTTATATTGAAATTGAAGAAAATCATTGGGTGCCTCGTCTCATCGGATTCCTAGTAAGTTTTCCGCATATGCAAACATCTAGGGGAGGTTGTTTGAAAGTTGTGTCACCGGAATCACGAAGGCGGTTCACCTGGTTAGTGACTTTGTTTTTCTCACACTTCTATTCAACAATATTTTTTGAGAACATGTTCTTCATTCACAAAGCTCTCTTTTTTCATCTACAAATCCAATCTTATTAGAATATATGATTCATCTCATCGTTCACGTGAAGATGCACGTGAAATCTGAATTCATTCATATCTGCATGCAGGGCGCATATGAAACGGTTGTTTCGATAAAATTTTGATGTTTTGCCAAAATTTGATTTGAAAGCCCGAAAATATCAAAAACGTTCCAGAATAATACGATTTATCCGTAACATCAAGCATATAGTTTGCTTGAGCTTCTATTGTTACTTATTAACAGGTGTTTTTCCAATTATTCTAACTCTTCCTTTATTTTTTCGTCACTCTCTCTCTCTCTATATGTCTCCCTCTCATCCTCTCTCTCTCTTTCTATCTATCGGTTGACTACTACTTTTTATTTCATATTGAGAGAGGGCGATCAACTAGCTATCCGCTTCTTCTAACTATTGATAACAATTTTTTTCCTTATTTATGTAGTTTTCTGAATATCATTATAGAATCATTGTGATCGTTGATGCTCATCGAAAAACTCCTCTTCATTGAATTTTATCTTCAATTTTCATTTTATTTTGTATTTTTTTTTCTGTCATTTGATGCGATCAGTCATTCCGCACATCCTCTCCATTTCGAATTGCTCAACTTTCAACTTCTTCATTATTCAAGACTGTCTTTTTTGCTAAAAACTTTGACCAAGCAAAGCATTTCTCCATATTTGGATTCAGATTTAGCAAAGCTTAAAATAAAAACTTCCGCAGTCTCAAATTTCAATAAGAATCATCAAACGATAATATTCAGATTCTTCAAAAGACATTCTCAATTCATTCACATCTAGCATGTCCAATTATTCTTTTTTTTCAATCTAAGATTTGCCTTTCTCAATTTTCTTATCGAAAGAGAAGTCATTGTCTTCTTAAGCTCTTTCTCTACTTTTCCACATCATGTCCTCTTTCTTCCGTTTTTGAGCTTTCACCAGCTCGATATTCTTTGAATGGTAGCAATCATGGAAAAAAGAAGTCAATGCTAGATATAGTGAAGTCAACTTAGAGTACATATGCTATATATATATCCAATTAAGCAGTTGCCAACAAACTTAAATCCGAACAGATCTGAGCGTGTATCTAACATTCTTTTCTCCTCTTTTTGACAATGTTTATAACATTTTTTCTTATTGAAAAAATCTGCAGATTTCTTTCACAAGAAATATACATCTATGGCAAACAACAGCAGTTCATGAGAAAGTCATTTCTTCCAAACATTCTGGTCAATGGTTCCAAACTTAGAATTCGTACCCGGTCAGAAACATGTTATTTGTTGCCCAAAAATAGATCATTGACAATAACTTCCCAAATAAGGTTCTAAAGACAGATTTCAAGCTAAGTGAGCTCTTCGCTAAAAATCACCTTCCACTTCACTTCCGTCTTAGACTAGGAAAACAGCGTTCCCAATACTTTCTTTGTCAGAATGAGGAGGTAAGGTTGGGGAGAGATGTGGAAGAAGTAGAAAGATGATAATATTGAACGATTTTCGAATGATTGAATTGACTATATTGGGCTCAGGCTTTAATGATATCCATCAAAGTCAAAATATAATGTGCCTACAATTACTCTGAAGAAAACAACCGAAAATGGATCAATATGAGATACTTACGAAGTTAGAACTCAGAATAATGTCAAGACAAAGGAAACGATTGAATGGAATGGAGAAATAGATTAAGCATTTGGTGGTGATGTACCAAAGAACTTAAGGTTAACATCCTTCCAAACAAAGAATCTTTTGCACTACAATCTGATTACTTCTCTCGGTTTTCGTTAATTCTGTCCAGTTCGATTCTGATGTCGCTGTCATCTGAAGATTTGTTCTTTTCTATTCTCTTTCTTCCTTCTTGTTGCTGTTTCACGATTCCCCTCCCCGCTTCCTAAACTGCTTCAAAAAAGGAAAGGCACCATCACCCACCCCAGTTTTCCTCCCTCTTCTTCCTCATTACTCTTCTTCTTATTTGCCATTTTAACCCGCTGGATCTGTGATTAAGTCGGAGAATGTCACGGTCAGGACATCTCCAGGACTTGGACGGAGGTAGCACTACCTCTGTCATTGTCTACCAGCCGGTAAGTGTTGCTCAAACCACTTTCTCTCCATGTTCTTTGTTAAAAGCCCTTCACATGGTAAACTCCACACAGTTGTTAGTCTGCATGATCCAGCTATTATGAGAGCATGTGAAAGGATACTTTTTCTATTATACTTTTAACGAATGTTTTATTGCTCTTGCCGAAAATCTTACATCTATCTTTCATTCCGCGAATGAATATAATTTACATAGTTAGAGCATAACGTAGAGAGAGTATTATTCCGCTTTTTTAGCTAACATTCACCTTCCTCCTACACGGGGATAGGATGTGTCTCTAGACACCCTCATAATTTTGAAAGTCAAATAAATAAAATATTTTTTCAGCTTAAACAAAGTCAAAGAAGATCATCCCAAGGCAGTCAGTCCAGGAATGCAAGCATGGCTGGTAGGCGACAGTCCGTAACGGCTCAATTACAACGACAAGCAAGGTAAGTTGGATGACATATGATTGAGAATTCTCGTGTTTCTTTACCTCATAATATTAAAAACAAAACAATTTCAACAAGGAGAAATTCAGAAAACAAAGAAAAAGAAAGCAAAAACTAAGAGTTGTTTGGTGAGTAAGTTGATGAATGAAAGATATGTATGTGCAGACGTAGACAACTTTTCCTATTATAGCTTGTTTATAGCTATTTTAGTATATGTTAAAATGAGATTTATTTGACTTCCTTTTAATTTGAAAATATTTTTTTAGCTCAAAAGTACATAAAATAGAAATTTCAGGCGTTTCTCAACTGCAATCGCCCCTCAATTCACTCGAATAGAGCCCGTAACCATTCTTCAGAAGAGCGAATATCTCATCTTGAAGATAACAGATACTGGGCAGGTATCAATAAAAGGTTATGTGAAGAGTATTCAAGTTATGAGCTAAGATTACGCATGCCGTTCAACAGTATGTAATGAAAAACGCTGTCATGTTTGACCCCGTGGAGTTCGAACTATTCGATCAAGACGGTTTCCGCATAATGACAGGTACATCTTTAATTTGATGATATACTAAAACTAATTCTTTGAAGCAAGTTTATTTCCTGATGAATTACTACTACAAGAAGGCAACAAGAAGTTGTTCAGTATTTCATTCGGAGAAATTGATGAAATGGACTCAGCTTGTATTGCCAAAGTCAAACATCCTATCACAGGTTTTATTACATTATACTTACAATTCAATCTAAATATGTCAGGTATCACTGTGTATGAGTTAAGAGAATTGGGTGGTTCTGTACTTATTCAAGCTAACACTGACAGTCTTGCCGGGTGAGTTGTGCTCTAATGCTAACTCAATGCTAGGCAAAAAGCTTTTCATTTTTATTGCAAAGAGAGCATTGACCGGTTGACCACCGAACTTAATCAAAACTTTAATTTCAGAACAAGAATTTTAACTCAATCAGTAAGCCTTGCCAGTGTGCTTATGGCTTGCGGCTGTACGTTCTCAAAGGAACAGTGGAGTCTTGTGAAACACGACAAAGTGATGGTGCGAATTACTCCGCAACAGTCCTTTTTTAGCGAAAACTCGATAAAAGTGAGAATACTTTCGAAAGGTCAATGATTATCATAATATTACTAGGTCGCCTGGAACCCAAATTGTGACAATGAACTGCGGGTTATTGCTTTGGCTTTTGGACTTGCTCAGATGGTTCGTGAAGCTTTCCCTTCACTGTTGCACATCGTAAAAGAGTTTCGTCAGCGCAGAAGTTAAGCAGAATTCTGTTAACGTCTCTATTACAAGCATTTACTGAGCGGATATTTCACTCTAATTCCAAGTATTTAATTGCGAAAATGTGAACGAAAGAGATACTTTCGTTGTAAACATTGGGATACCATACTTAACACATTGTATAATCTGATTCATATCTGTATTCCATAGTTCATATGGCTTCTACACTTCTATATAAATATGCTAAATGAAATCTGATTCAACGGAACAAAATCGCTTTTCAGAAGTGATTAACGTAATGAATAACACAACTCGCTACTGCCTCTCAAACTTCACCCAATTTTATCGAATGAAAAATATTTTACTAACCTGACTAAGAAATTGCGTAACTGACGATTTCATAGTTAAGCTGGGAAGTTAGTGAGTTTGCTTCTTTTGAAATGAAGAAAGACCCGGCAGACGCCACAATTAAGAAACGACTACGACCGGATAGCGCCTCAATTCAATTTGAGTCGGAGGCCGTGGAAGCCATCTGATATGCATTGCCCAGATGACGCCTTAAGAGCTATCCTCAACATCTCTATCTCAATACCACCCATTTAGTACCCACGAACTATCTCATGGTTTCTTCTATATTATTCCCTAAAGGATTCATTACATCAGTGAGGATGAATGATTCCCGAAATGACCGTCAGAATGAATCCAATGAAACCTTTAGGAAGATTCCGAGTGTCTTCAGCAAAGTTCTTCGGTTTTTCTATCAGCGCCCTGCTTCACCTTCTATTTTTCCTATCAGCGTTGATAATGAAACGTGCTACTATCTCTTAGCTTTTCTGTCGTTTTTTATAATCCCAGAACTGTCATCGAGATTACATTTCTCATGATATTACGTTTTGAGCTAACCAATTTTCCGTAACTTATGGAACTCGAAAACACCACTGCTGTAAATATTTTTTGATGCACAAGGGAATTTGATACGCTGAGATTCGGTCTGAGGCCCATTTCCACCCTAGTTACTGCCAGAAACACTCATATTGTCAGTTTTTCTTTTTAAAGTTAATTCATATGTGGTAATACTAAGAAGATTTATATGAGCAAAAGCTAGCAAGCCACTTCGATTAGGAAGTTCTTAAAAACCCCTCATAATTTTAATCCATGCTGTGCCCACTTGTACCCTCTAAGTTCTCGAATAGAGCTTCCTATAGATATGCAAATTTCCATACGAATCCATTGTGACTCAATATTGAAGAACTTAAAAAGCTTCGAAGTATGCCAGAACCTGTAAGGGTAGTGTATAAGGAACATACAAAACAACCAATAGCGTTGTTCTCATCAGCATCACCAAAACTTTTCGAACTGGGTATTAATTACTCATAAGCCAAGGCTAGAGATCAACACTGAAAATTCACTTTCTAGGAGTTCGGAATCAGGTGAGAAACTAGATCTTCGAATGAATAGAGGGATAGGAACATATCGTTATCCAAATAATTAATTTCAAATAAATAAATTAAATTTACTGAAAACTGAAATCTACTGGTAACATTGCAAAACCTTAACAAAACCAATAAAACCTAGGAATATGTAAAGTATTTAAACCGTGTCCCGAAATTTCGATGTTCAGCATTAGACCAGCATATGATTGACAAGTAAGTTTAAGATATGATTTTCTTTTTGATAAGTTCATCACGAGCCTCCTTGATTTCGACAACGAGCTCATTGCGAGCTGCTACACAGTCGTTAAACGTGGCAACTCCATGAATCACAGATCCAGCAGCATACACCTGAAAATTAAGTTCAAATTTCTGCATAACATCTCAAGAATATTCCAGATTATTTGTTATTTAATGCAACCAACCCCTAATAGTAAGACAGCATAGACCGGAAGCTGTAACAGAAAGAGAAAAGTCGGTTACATACTCGTCAACTTACGAATTGTAAGACATGTTGCAGCCAAAACCAAGGCAGTTCATATTTAGATAATGGGAATAATAGAGCTATCCATAAAATGAAGAATGGTACTACATGAGAAACATATATGAATAGTTGTGAAGCCATTCTATCTTCTGGAAAGTTATTATGAAAACCATTGCCTATCATACAATGCTACCCAGAACTTCGATTCTTCCATTTACTAATAAAAACGAAACAAAATTTCCCTAATAAACTTAAGCTTTTATGAAAATTAAATCAACATTAACCAATTTATTCCAAAGTAATTGTACAATACTCGGTAGTACTCTGGCTTGCAGCCAGTTAACAGTGAACAAGTTTGATGTGCAGGTTCCCCAAGCAAAAGTATTACGGTAGGCCGGTCCTTTAACGCGGCCAACTTTTGCAAAAATTTTGGGACTCGGTTCAAATGCTATAGATATTTCCTTGAAAATTATTAGTTTTGTTGAGGTTTGCGATGTTTGAAGTAGATATTATTACTTTTTTTCAAATTTACGTTAATTTTCTGAATTTAAACGTGTTTTTACCTCTGTATTCTTGTATAATTATAGTTTTCTTTTTTTTATTATCTCATTTTAATTTCTATTTTGAAGAAAACATGGGAAAGCCGAAGGGAATCTGTACGGCTCGCAAAATCAGAAAGCATCATCAATCCCAAAGATGGTGCGACAAGGACTATAAGAAAGCTCATCTTGGAACTAGATGGAAGTCCAATCCTTTCGGAGGAGCTTCTCACGCCAAGGGAATCGTTCTCGAGAAAATGTAAGTCGTAACAAATTTTAAATCATTTTTTATCTTTTTTTATTTAAGCGGAGTAGAAGCTAAGCAGCCTAACTCTGCTATTCGTAAGTGTGTTCGTGTCCAATTGATCAAGAACGGAAAGAAGATCACTGCCTTCGTCCCCAATGACGGTTGTCTCAATTTCGTTGAAGTGAGTTAGAATTATGCTAATCTAATTTAATTTCTGTTATTTAGGAAAACGATGAAGTCCTCGTATCCGGTTTCGGACGTTCCGGTCACGCCGTCGGAGATATTCCAGGAGTTCGTTTCAAGATCGTTAAGGTTGCCAACACTTCCCTCATTGCCCTCTTCAAGGGAAAGAAGGAGAGACCACGTTCTTAAATTTTTGTTATTGTTATTTCGATGACATAAAGGTTATCGCGTTCCTTGTTTAGTTGTTAAGTTTCGAAGGGAAGACATTTGAAAAATTTAAACCTGCGAGTCCCTCTTGAAGTGGATGGGATCGGGAGTTCGTTAACAAGATTTTATATGAATGAAATAGTCAAAGGCATCAATCCCAATTAGACGGGACTGTTCTGTCAAAGAGATGATATTGGATCAGGACATGGTTAGTAGTGTCTCGTTAAGCATGTATGATTCATGGTATTCTCTCGATTGCTTCAGATCGGAAAGAAGTTCTGGAAGGAAATCCGAAAATGGCTGTAAAAGTGTTGCTACAGATTAGCAATTGTAGACTAAATAAAGAGTGAGAAGATGGAATTTTGAATCAGAACACGCTTTTAAATGCTTCCTAGGCAGGTTATGGCTTCTAGTCTTCGCATAATATGTTCGTTTGTTTGGATTTGTGTAAGCCTAGCATCCTTCCTGACGATCATCCGCTTTCTTCTGCCCTTATTTGTTGTATACGGTTCGTGTGTGCCCGTTTAGGGTTTTCTGGTGTGTCTCAGGAAGTATCCGTTCTGTAGTAATGTGATTGCTTTGACGGTTTGCATGAGCTACTTCGTGAAACATCTTAGGTCTTTTCTCTCTTGACCTCAATCCTCAGCTGTCTCACCTTAGCATCATTTTCCTCCCTTTTATCCATTCTTCTCAATAACATTCCTTCAGAAACCTTCGGACATTTTTTCATGGATAGGCTAATAGAAATATCTGTTGGCCTCTATCTGTTCCATTTGAACATTTCTCTGACCAATCACCAGAAGCCTTTTTCAGCACTTTCCGATACCTTGCCAATTAAGTTGTCTGAAAGAAACAAATTTTGGATTTTGATCCGGATTTTGAGTTTTAATACTTTTTTGTCACCACAGAAAGCTCAAAAATCCCCTATAGGTGATTTGGCAAATCTTGATTCAACATAATTTGAGACGATTCGTTATCGTAGCATGACATCACCCTTAAAGCAGCGGACTGTAAAGGGTTAGCTTAAACGATCTCTCTTCCATTTTTAAAAGATTGAAGAGTATTATCGGCAAATTATTATTTTTTCTGAACTGTACTTATCATTCTCTTTGTCTGTATCTTGTTGAACCTTTCATTCATTGACCACTCAGCAAATCATCTCTGCTTTCTCTTTATGCCCTATCCCTAAACCTATTGGGATTAGGTGTGAAGAAGGTAACAATAAGTGATTAAAAGATATGAGAAACAAGGGAAAGACAGAGTTGGCCAATGAAAAGATAAGACCAGCTTCAGAATGTTCATCCCCATATACGGACTGATGATGATGAGATGGACCGGAGGGCCGATAACAGGTTTCTTTCCCTTCTAGTCCATGTCCACATATAACATTCTCTTGTTGAAACTCTCTGTTTAGTATATGTATCTTCTCTGAAATCTCTGTAAACTCTCTTGACTCCTCTCTCTTCTATCTCCTTTCATTTTCATGTTTCCTTTCTCGTTGAATCTATCTGTCCCCTAACAGCAGCCATCAAACATCTACCCAAGTATTGCTGGTTGTCCCGTCTAGTCGGCTCTCGTATTTTTCTACTCTCACGTGCTTTTATCACCAATTTGGTCATACTTGACTGTATGACCAGTTAAAACTTGCATCTTGCTAGAAGAAGAAAGCAAGTAATGCTTGTTACCATCTATCTCCTTATCCCATTAACTCATCATTTCCATATCCATCTTTCCCGAGCTAAGCTTCGCCTAACAACATCTCCAGTAAATTTTTCAGAGAAATTCTTCGGCTTCTCCTACTTTCTTACATAACCTGCTTCGGCTTTCGAAACACTTTTTTATCTTTTTTTTTTCGTCTGTTGTTCTCCACCATTTGTGCCATGGTTTCCATATACTGTTGGAAAACCCATCACCTCTGCAAACAACCAGAATTTCCTTTCCAAAGCCGGAAGACGATCTTTCTGCAACCTGTAATGTCTTGGTTTTTCTTGATTCCGGCACTTCTGGACAATTTACTTTTCGGGTCTCGTTTTTCTCCTCTATAAAATTGATCAGAAAATTCGCTGAGAATGTAAAGTTTCAAGACAAGTTTCGGGCTATGAAAGGTAGAGGCCAGAAGATAAAATCATCTGGTCGAAAAGCTTACAAAGCTTTTGTAATTTTCATGAATCATTGAAAGAAAGGCGAAAGGTCAGGGGCTTCTAAACTTTGGGTGACCTGTCTTCACAAGAACACACCAATGGCTAGACAACATCTGAAGTTGTCCCACTTTACGTATTCTTTGTCGTTTCTTAAAATGACGTTTTCGTAATTGCTTTATTGCCTTTTTAATATTTTTTTTTTCTTATTTTTGTTTTGAATCGGATCATCTTCTTCAAAATGAAAGAAAAACTTTGAAAGCAGACTGAGAGAAAGTTTTGTAGCTTCAAAGAGAAGAAGAAAACTTTTTAAGGTCACAGGGCTATTGATAACTGCGACTCATCCATTTCCACTGTTTCAATATCACCTCGAAATTCGGATTCTCTAAGTTTTCTCATTTTTCGGCTGATGCAAAAGAAAATTGGAACAGAATTCTTTCTATATCTCAGCCCCATACTCCCATCTTCTATCGGACGTTCTTTATTCATCCTCTTCTCTGAAATCTCTCCGAATTCGCTCGGTATTGTCGCCGTGGACATGTTGTCCCCAATTTATAAATCGAAAGTGTGGTCATCAAACCGACACCACGACCAACAGCATCTACTTCAGCTCTCTTGTTTCCCTCTCTCTATTCACTGTTACTCACCATATACGTCTTTCACCTTCTTTAAATTTCCGTTTTCACTACTATCATCCACCTGAACATCTAATATCCCACTTAACTCTTGTTCGGTAGTCTTCACTTTCATCCGAGGCACCCACTAAATCTTTCTCTTTATGACCCGGCCCGCCCGGCATTCGGCCTATACTCAGGCACTATTCGATTTTGATCAATTATTACTGTCCTTTGAATTGTATGTTTCAAACCGGGTTTACTCATCTCTCTTTTTTATCTTTTTCCTAGCCCAAAGCTTGATTTTTCTCATCCTTGCCTTGCTTCAATCCATCTGTTTTGTTTGTTCCCACCTCACCTTATTAAGCCCATCTATCAAACAAGTGGTTGATGATCTATATATTTGCGGTTTTTGCGATAGTTTCGAATTTTTTTTTCAATTCATTTTCTAAAAGTTTCAAGTTTTTCAACTTTTTTTTGCAGCTGTTGATTCGGGTCAGCATGGTGCAGTCACGCACCATGACGACTCCAGAAATCCTGGAAAAATCTGCCAAGTAAGTTGCTTACAAACAATTTTATTGGAAACTTTTTACGCGGTCGTTTCTGGAACTTCGAAACTGCGAAGCTTTCTGATCAGTTTTTCTTGTGTTAATCGATAGGTCTGGACGGGAAAAAATTAATTTTTCCGCCCGATTCGTTCTTTCTCAACTTTAGTGGTTCTAGCCAAAATCTTGAAACTCATCGTCGAGAAGAAGAAATTGCTTTCTCTCCTTAACTTTTGATGTTCAGAATATTGCCTCACATGCGTATCGAAGAACTACTGACAGTTTTCTTGATTACCACCGCAGTTTTCTTCCAAAGTATGCCACTCGGCTTAGTTCTTTCATTTGTTCTGACAATTTATATCACGTTTGTATATGGAGATTTCATTCATCGCTCTTATCTAACCCTTAATCGAGATCTAAGGTATTACTAACTTTCGATACCTCTCTTTGAAGCACCATTTTCCAGCGGCTTATTTCTGATTCTTGAAATTAAGTTCGATTTATGGAGACGCTTGCGTGAGAACAAAGGTCTTCATGAAATATTTCTCAATGTTGTCCGAAAGTGAGTTTACGGATCAAAGATATTCTCTCTCAATCATTTGTTTTAAGGAATGAAAACAAAACGGCTATGATTGATATAGAAACTGGCCGTAGCTTCACTTATGACCAGTTCAACAAAGAATGTAATCGATATGCCAATTATTTCCAAGTAATTTCTGTTTTATCTTGAAAAAAAACTTCTTTTCTAACTACAGAAACAAGGTTTACGTGCTGGAGATGTAGTTGCTTTGTTTATGGAAAACTCAGTTGATTTCGTTGCGGCTTGGATGGGTTTGGCCAAAATTGGAGTTATAACAGCTTGGATTAATAGTAACTTGAAAAAGGAACCATTGGCTCATTGCATTCAAACTAGCAATGCTAAAGTGATAGTTTCGAGCAAACTACTTGCCCACGGTCAGTTGTTTCATTAAACAAACAAGTGAAAACTGAGAGAAATTAACGCGAACGACATACGGCGCAGAAATGATTTATACTGTTTTCCAAAGACATAATATTTGAAATCGTACTACACAGAATCCTTTCTGTAGTTTGTATTTCACATTATCTCCTTAAAAGCAACACAAGTTGACTGCGGTGAAAGGG